CAGAGTGCTATGTAATATCTCCTGATTGTTTATACTAAAACCATAAGGACGCTTTGCTTTCAATATCTAATTGTGAAGCGGTATTTCTCTTCGGGCTAATGCTTAATCTTACAAAAACAATCATTTTATAACTAATCTAAACAAACAAGACTAAACTTTAAAGCAAGACCATTAATAAAAGGAAATAACAACTCAAGTTCAACCTTGAATATCATCTTGTCTGAAGACAAAACAACAATAAGATATGAATTAATTCAATTCATATAAATATTCACGTCAGTTTCACTTTAAAATTATAATGTAATAATTTAAAACTCTTCTTTTATATATAGTCAACTTTTAAATTTATCAACTTGAGTTTCTCAAGAGATATTATGCGATGCTAATTCACTCAAACTAAGATAAAGCAACAAGAAGTATTGTTATACATCATTTTCTCGTTTTAATGATGATTAAGACCTTGGTGATCAAGTTGAGAAGGTGGTTGGGAAAAGAAGAGTGAATTAATGCGTATAATTGATGGAAAACAAGTAAAAGATTTTCACCATAAAATAAAATCTAAAATGAATCCTGGCTGGTAAGTAAATTTGTACATGATGTTGACATGATCCTACCTTAGCTCCATCGAGTAACGGTGATGAGGGTGTTTTGCTGTCCTCGTGCTAAAGCGACATAAAAAGTAGTGGTCTTTTTTCGTAGACTTTCACGTTCATATTAGACACTACAATAATAAATATCGATGTAAGTATCCATTTGGTGATAGGGTATTTTTAGATGGTAAGTATGAGCTGCTGTTTTCTAAAACTAAAAAGTTTTGCAACATAAAAATAACAAAAATTGAAAAATTTAGTTTTTAAAGTTTTGAATGAGAAACTTCTCTTGTATTAATAGTTGGGAATCACTTAAGAAACATGTGTTTTGATTAGTTAGTTTTTAATAGATTTATGATTGATAATGGATTTTTAAAAAACTTTAAGATAATAGTATTTTATTCCAAGTTCATCCACATACATAAGGAAAAAACATGTAAAACATTCGTTTTAAACTTCTAATTATCTTTAATAAAAAATAGTACTAATATATTTTTATTAAATTAATTAATTATAAAATTATATTTAAGAAAATAAAGACTTTAAAAAAAATAGTACTAATATTCTTTTATTAAACTAATTATAACTTTATGTTTGAGAATAAAATTTAATTAAATTATTATTTATGTATGTTAATTTTTATTGATATTAAAAAGGACATTTAATGATTTGTGTTTCTCAATATTCATGTCATATTGTCTTGAGTATCCTTTTGCCACCAAAAGCCCTGTGATTCTCAATATCCTCATGTTCATTGAATTTTGTTTTAAAAATCCATTTGACTTCAATAGGTTTGATTCCTTTTCATGCATGAGTGAGTTCTCATGTTTTATTTCTCTCAATTGTTTGAATCTCTACATTCATAACTTCTCTCCATTTTACAATTTGAGAAGCTTCCTTGTAAGTATTGGGATCACCTCCATCTTCGACCAACATGAATGCCATGAGATAAGCTTCTGCAAAAAAAAATGGGTGTAATCTGTCATCCAAACTAGTTTCTTCTCTGCCACATTGCCCTCCTTTGGACTCATGTCTCATGTTCATCAGCATTGTTAGTTAGTGATGGACTAGTTTCAGTTAGAAAATAGATATTGAGTGGACTCAAGCTCAGAGTTATATATGTTACACAGGATAAGAATCCTTCAGGTAATAACAAAAGCAATAAAAAAAAAGGATAAAAAGAGAAATAAACTATAAGTTTTTTAATGTGATCACACATGCAACGTGTATATTTACTTGCATAATTATATTAGAAAGTCTTTTATTTAAGTTTAGAATATGTTTTTTATACAACGACATATAAAATAGTATATTATTTAATAGTATATAATGTAAGACTAAAAGTAAACTTTATAGGACAAACATAGACTTCTGAAGCCTCCAAGTTCTTCAATATTTTTAAAAGATGTTTATGATGTTGTTTAAAGTATTATTAAACATTATAAGGTATTTTTTGGGATTATTCTTGGTACAATGAGTTAGTCTAAATTTATTTTATCTTAAAGTTGGATAAAATCCATTATTTAATTTGCATGTATTTTTTTAAGAAATGTCCGGGCACTAAATAAAAAAAATCAAAATATATTGAATAATATATATTCAAAACAAAGTATCAATATAAATATATCGTGGCCATATATGCAAAATATTATCTTGTTTTAATAATTATGCGTTGATATAATTATTTATTATTTTTCCACAAGAAAAATTAATTCAAATAATCATAAATTTAATAATTAAGTATGTTTTTACTTGTAAATTTAAACAATAATTAGAATTCATTTTATAAACTTAAAAAACAAATGAATATAATCATTTTAATTAAATACCATCAATTATATTTTTACTGTTAAAAAGTATTATATATTAGTCAAATGATATAAATAACTAAAATATTAGTCTGAAATTTACGAAGTAAATTTAAAAACTAAATTATATCAAAATTTGATACATAAATATCAATTTTATATTTAAATTTAGGAGTTAAAATCATATTTAACTTTTTAATAAATATAAAATCAAAATAAACAGATTATAAGATTAATACCACAAAACACTTTATAAAATAAAAACTGCTTCTTTAATATTGTTACTATTTTTGAAAAAACATTGTTTAAAACATTCGCTGTGTTTATTACTGCAGCGCTTTAAAAAGAAATTTGCGAAAATGTAAAGTAAAAAGCATAGTTAAATTAAAATTTGTTATTAACGAATTATATGAAACATATGTCGGAAAATTATTTTATTTAATAAAACAAGTGGATTGCATAAATTATTGAACAAAAAAATTTCATAAATAGGGCCATTTGGCCCAACCCAATCCTAATATTAATACACTACAAAAATATATAATTTTAGTAGGAGTTATTTTTAACGTGCGAGGTTTTAACCTCCAGAAAATACAATTCTTCGAGTTACATAAACCTCTGAAAAAAGTTGCGTTGGAATTGGTAGGAGTTTTTCAAAAACCGCCGAAATTAGCAAGAATTTTTCAAAACCACCGGGATTAGGTTTCTCAAAAACTGTCAAGATTAGTAGGGATTTCTCAAAAACCGTAAGAATTAGTAAGAATTTTTTAAAAGGCACCAGAATTATTCTATTTTATCATCTTTATTCACGACATCATTTCTATTTCCAAAAACATAACTAATATATCATTGGTTGGAAATAATATTTTATATTCATTTTCATAAAACAAAACTAAATAGTTTATAATAATATAAAAAGTAAACACAATTTTTAATAATAATTTGTGAACGCATAATAAATAAAAAATGAAAAGAGAAACAAATAAGAAGTGATTTTTTTTACTATTTGATTCTCTTTCCATTTAAACAAGGATATTAATTTAAAAACAAATATAAACCACATCTAAAAAAGCAAATATTCTTCTGGCCAAAGTCGTGGCTCCCTGAGAAAATATGAACCAAAAAGTATACCTCAAATACAGGATCAATTGTTGAAATTTGATGACTAATACAATGAATTTTTGTGTTTCAAGTGAACTAAAAGTATACTTAATGAAATACAAAAATGTGGTACTAATCTAACCAAAGACAATACAAAACTGCATTAAACAGCCCTGTAAATATTAGGCCTCATGAACCTTAATTTTTAGCCGTGTACATGCAGAGGTTTCCAAATCCCATGTGCTCTTTGCGTTCAATCTTTTCGATCATATGTGCAACTCCTACTCCACCTGTCATGTCATGTCACCAAATAAAACCATTTTACATTTGCCTTACAAAACCTGCAAAACAAAACAAAACAAAACCATCTTACACCTACCTAGTAAAACTGCACTCACACAGTGTGAAGGTTAGGATGAAAATTATCACACATGCTCTCCCCAATATGGCAACCACCTTTCTCACCAAATACTGTCCAACAACTGAAGCTACAGTCGCTACACCTACCAAGCACAGTACTACAAGACCATATCCAAACTTTAACATTAAAATCACAAGTTATTGCTTCATTAAGCCCCTCTTGGTCCATTAAATATCTAGTACTAAGCACATGCTCTTTGAATAGGCAAATTACTAGTCATCCAGCACACTGTTCATTCTTTCATGCATACATACCATAAGGAACGGGGAAACGTTTGAGAAGGTAATATTCCACCATAGCCATAGATGCTGAAAATAGCATTGCCAAAATGGATGTAGCACTTGCCACCTCTGTGAAAAATTCTCCAATCAGAACGGTTTCCAAGAAAAATCTACACAGAAAAACTTGATGAGAGAAAGAAGAATGAAAGGTACCTGATTCTTACCAACGAAAAGTATTATTAGCAAAACGGTTAGCATCCACTCAGGAAAAATGACATAGAAGTCAACTCCAATGCTGATTCCAATCATCAACATTGGTTGGAAGAGAAGTGCTAAGTCATAATCAATCATTCCAGGAGGTCGAGGACATTCAATACCAGATGCAGAATCAGATTCAGGGCAAGGAGTACATTTTCTTAGAAGTGGCAAGCCAAATGAAATCAGTGACGTTAAAATGGATACAAGACATGATTTCATTGCCAAGTGGTAATATAAAGAGTAAGCTGGTTGAATAAAGCTCCTACAAATTATTGATACTACATTAACAAAATCGAACAAGATCCAAGTAAAACCCACAGTACAGATGAAGTCCAAAATAAAGGAAAAAATTACTACCTAGTAGACCTCCAATAACTCCAATAATAGCCATTGGAAATAACTCTACAAAGGAATAATCCTCTTGGCCACTAAAAACAAAATCAGTCAAGAAGGGGAAGGAAGAAAACAAATATCTTACTATTCAACTGACAGTGAAAAAGGTGATAGCTTATATCTTGACTCTGATATATCCCATATTATAAATCCACCGGACCCAAAATGTCCACATTTTCCATTAGTAAACAAATTTTTAATTCATTAAGATGTTTAAGATAAATCAAGTAATGGAGGTTACCTCGATAACAATGTCAATTCCTAGTTCAGTCCAAGGAAGCTTAAGAGGATCCCTGCTTGAAACAACCTTGATGGGCTTACCATCAACAGTGATGGTTTCATTGTCTAGTATCTTCACATCTGCTTTAAATGTTCCCAGCATAGAATCATATTTCAACAGGTGTGAAGCCTGGATCATACGTGAAGCAGAATTAGTGAAACAAAAATATATGTGCCAATAAAACTAGCTAAGCCAAGACAGTTAGATGACTTACATTCTTGACACCACCACTATCGTTGACAACAACAACATCAAGGGGTGAGTCTTTTCGGCCGTGCCAACAACGAAGAAAGTTTCTGCCAATTCGTCCAAAATCATTGATTGCCACCTTCAACTTGGCCACTGTTTCTCCTCTCACTGGAGTGGATCCATTGGTCTGCTTTTAGTTTGCAAATTAGAAGTAGAAACAGACATAAAGAATAATTAAGAAGCCATGTATTATTCATACAATTGTTACATTGTTCTATTGAAAAATATTTTTCATGTCTATATTGTGTATCACATCATATTTTTTTCATTACTAGAAAACCAGTAATACCAGCAATGAATTTCCATACAGTTACACAATCTTGATCAGATACTAATTTAAGACTGTTCCAACGCCATGCTCTTTACAACTTTCCTTCATAAACGGCAAAATTCCTCTCTTTCTCTATCATGCACTACTTTAAAGCTGCTCTATCAATGAGAGCAATCCAATTTTTTATTTACACTTAAAGGATTCTATATTTTTCTTTTCTATTGTATATTTTATCTTGTTAATGTAGTAAAATTCCATATTTAGAAAGTAACCTTATTATTCTTTTGCAGTGAAGGATTGTTTCATGATAACGATAATAATCATATAATAATTAATTATTTGGTTCATCCATAAAATATGATTTTTCATTTTTATATATTAATTATATCTCTTATATATTGTATCTCTTATGTTAAAGAAAAATTACTTCAAAAGGGAGCAGAAGATATTTGATTTTTTTCATACCATCTCATTTTTTTTTATGGTAGAATTATCACTAAGGCCTTGTTGATTTGGGGAGAATAATTGGGGGAGGGGGGATTTGAAGATAATTTTTTGTTGTTGTTTATTTGAATTGGAAGTAGAGTTTGTAAGAATTAGTGTAAGATTTGATTGACGTGACAGATTAAAAAAATTTACTTTCAAATCCACTCTCATTTACCTCCAAATTCACTAAAATAAACAACAAAAAAATTTATCTTCAAATCCTCTAAAATCTCCTTAATTACTCTTCCCAAATCCATTTAAGTGAACAAGGCCTAATAGAACATGACATATTATTAAAAGCTCAACTAATGTATAATAAAAATTCATTTATAATTTAAATAACACTAAGTGATGATACATAAATGTTACTAATTAATAGATATAAAATTTATCGATACAAATTTATGAGTAATTATCAACAAATTTTGGTTGTTAATAAAATTTGTTAGTAAAATAGTCTTCTTCTTTCTTGTCTTATATTTTTTTTTTTCATTATTTTCTTCTTCCTCCTCTCCTCAAAGGGTTATCATCATTGTCATGTACTAACGTGACTCTTCTTCTTTTTCTTCTCCTATTTCTCATAATCTTCTTATTCCTTTTCATTCATTTTTCTCCTTACCTCTTTCTTTAACTTGGACAACTATTCACATTGCACTTTTGCATCACTGATGCACTTTTGCATCACTTATGTATTAGAATATATTATGACAAAATTTCTTAAATTAAATTTAAAGTTTATTCACCTTATCAAAATTATGAATTAAATTTTATTTTAACAAAATTTATTATTTATCAAGTCTATTATTTTACATGTTATTAAATTATTAATTAATATTTAATTTAAAATGTATATAAATTAATAAAGCAATATGTTAAAAGTTTCACGTAAATTAAATAGAAGTAAACATCATTATGAATTGTTTTCTTAAAAATAAATTATGTTTAAATTCATTTTTTTATAAAAAAATTATTTTAATTTAAATATGTTTAAAAGTGGTAGAATGGAAGGGATGGTTAGGAGAAAGCGTTTTCTTGAACTGCATGCATTGATTGGACAATGACTTCCTGCTATAAATCCAAATCCAGCGATGCTCAATCAATTAGTAATGGATGTAAAAGAGAAGTCAGATTCAATTAACACTCACAAAACCCAGCTGTTATTAAAATCATTTTGAAATTTAACACACATGCCAACACACCATTCATTATGTTACAAAAATTGACCCTCTCTTTAATGAAATCCCTTTGACACGTCCCTGTTCAAAACTCTTCCCACCCATTTTGGCTTCATTTCTTCTCAACACAAACCTCACTAAGGACAATTACCCTTTTAACTTATCTCAACTATCTATTTTATAAATTAACTGTATACTGGGTGTAAAATCATTTTTTATGCTTTTATCATTTACTATTAAATTGGTTTTTTTTTATAAAAATAGCTTTCAAACTCTACTATTAAATAAAACATAATTAACCGGATTTAGTGTATAATTAAAAATAAAAAATTATAAGAGAATTTTTTAAAAAAAAAAGTTTGCACATAAAATGACCTCAAGTTGAATGGTTTATTTATAATTGGTGGATATTGAGACATAAATTTGACAGAATTAGAAGGTGAGTTAAGCACAATCTAGTCACCAATTAGATGAGGAAGAAATAGGGACTTTAATCCAAAAAGAAACATAAAGCGATGTCAAAAGACGAAGGCACCCTTTCACACACTATACTTTCCAGTTTCAAAGAACAGAGTGTGGGTTCTGCTGACGCTTGAAGACAGTGAGGGGAAAAAATAACTGAGAAATTCTAGAAACCTCTCTTCAGAGAGTCCGTGAATAAATCAATTGTTCAAAATCAATTTCACAAAGTTTGATCACTTTTGCATTGACCTTCAACTTTTCTTCTTCTCTCCGGTTATTCGCTCGCAATGAATCCACAATCACCGGACCCTCAGCTTCCGACTTTCTCCCCACGGTTCGCGCTCGTGACCGGTTCGCAGCGGAAAATCGCGATCGCGGTGGATCTGAGCGACGAGAGTGCTTACGCGGTGCGGTGGGCGGTGCAGAACTACCTCCGACCGGGCGACGGGGTGATCCTTCTGCACGTGCGTCCCACGAGCGTCCTGTATGGCGCGGACTGGGGCTCGGTGGATCTGAGTGTGGCGGAGGAGGGCGGCGATGAGGAGTCGCGGCAGAAGCTGGAGGACGACTTCGACAACTTTACGTCGACGAAGGCTAGCGACGTGGCGCAGCCGCTGGTGGAGGCGCAGATACCGTTCAAGATCCACATTGTGAAGGACCACGACATGAAGGAGAGGTTGTGTTTGGAAGTGGAGCGCCTCGGGCTCAGCGCCGTCATCATGGGAAGCCGCGGCTTCGGCGCGTCCAAGCGAGCCGCCAAAGGAAGGCTCGGCAGTGTCAGCGATTACTGCGTGCACCATTGCGTGTGTCCCGTTGTGGTTGTGCGTTACCCCGAGGAGAACGACAACGGTAGTAGCGGCAACGGTAACGGCGGTGATGTTCTGGTTGGGGAACAGGTGGAGCTTCCACCTGTGCCTGAGGAGGAGCATGAGGTGTATCATGATGCTTCCGATGAGCACAGAGGTTTGGGTTTCACCCTGTTATAATTTTATTTCACAGTAACCATCATAATTTCGGTATTATGACTTAACATTGCATAGTGTATAGTTGGTTTGACTAATCATCTTACTCGTGTAGCATTGGTAACAGAGAGAATTGAGTATTGGATACTACTTACATATGCATGCTACTTTCTTCAGTCAAGTTTGGTATTTGTCTAAGTTATCGTATTGACTAGAGATTAGTGAACGATGTCAAAAGTATCTATGATATTATGATTATGATTGAGTGATATTCTTCATAATAACTACTTGTCTGAGGAGAAAATAAGAAGATAAAATTATGTGAGTTTCTCGGATAAACTAAGATCAAATTTGTCAATTTTGTAGGAGCATGAAATTTAACTTATCCAACCATACATTTATAAAAGAAGTTCAATTCATTTAGTTTTTTTTTTTGGCCCTTATAAATACTTGTGGAAAAATTATCAANTGAATAATTTTAAACATTAATTCTATTCAAAATTTAATTATAAACTTAAAAATGTTTTTATCTTTTTTATCAATATCTTTTACTATTTAAATATCTTTTAATATAATATATATTTACTAACATAAAGATATAAAAAAAAGCATTAGAATTTAAATTTAGTTATTTTAAAAAATAATTAATCATTTACTCTAAGTAAGACGAATTTAACCGCCCATAACATTATGCATCGATTGGGGAAAAGAAAAATATTATGGAAAGAAAGGAATATCGGAGAAAGAAGGAAGAAAAACAATTAAAAAATAAACCATAACGGTTTTTTTATTTATGTAGCATTATTTTTGTTTGACTCGCTCAACCTGAAATTTTCTTTAATTGTGAAATGAATAAGTGATTTAATCAATTCTTGAAAAGGCAATGGTAATATGGATAACTGATCTAACAAAGTCTTTAGTTTAAAAGGCATTCTTTTATAAATATCGTAACCATTTGTATAAAATAAACTTATTGTAATTGAATAAGATTGTTATAAATAATAAACCTTTTTCCGTATTTCATATAACTGTATATTTAACATGTTTATCAATATCACGAAAAGACAAGTTTATGAATATCAGTTCCAGAAAGTTGTACATAAAGCAAGCAATTCAATATTTTTTTTTTATTTGTGCGTCAAGCTACGACTACATTACAATATAATCCTTTGAGGGTTTGATTAGTTTTAATTAAAAGTCATAACAAGCCCAAATATGTTTTAAAATGATTTTTAGTATATTTTGGTAATATAAACGTGAAATGGTACATAATGACTTATTTTCTGTGAGAATTAAAAGTCTGTTTTACGTTTAACTAATAATTGTGTGGTGGCATAGGTCCCAAACAGTGATATAATTAACATTATTACGTGAAAATACATAAACAACATCAATATTTTTAAAATAATCTTTTCAATTTACTTAATATTTTTAAAATTTTAATGATAATATCAACTAATAATAAAGTTAAGAATGAATTAAATTTAAATTTTATTTTTAATTATCGAATAAAAGTTATGTATTAGAATATACTATGACAAAATTTATTGAATTAAATTTAAAGTTTATACACCTAATCAAAATTATGAATTAAATTTTATTTTAACAAAATTTATTATTTATCAAGTCTATTATTTTACATGTTATCAAATTATTAATTAATATTAATTTAAAATGATATAAATTAATAAAGCAATATGTTAAAAGTTTCACGTAAATTAAATAGAGGTAAACATCGTTATGAATTGTTTTCTTAAAAATAAAATATGTTTAAATTCATTTTTTTTATAAAAAAATTATTTTAATTTAAATATGTTTAAAAGTGGTAGAATGGAAGGGATGGTTAGGAGAAAGCGTTTTCTTGAACTGCATGCATTGATTGGACAATGACTTGCTGCTATAAATCCAAATCCAGCAATGCTCAATCAATTAGTCATGGATGTAAAAGAGAAGTCAGATTCAATTAACACTCACAAAACCCAGCTGTTATTAAAATCATTTTGAAATTTAACACACATGCCAACACACCATTCATTATGTTACAAAAATTGACCCTCACTTTAATGAAATCCCTTTGACACGTCCCTGTTCAAAACTCTTCCCACCCATTTTGGCTTCATTTCTTCTCAACACAAACCTCACTAAGGACAATTACCCTTTTAACTTATCTCAACTATCTATTTTATAAATTAACTGTATACTGGGTGTAAAATCATTTTTTATGCTTTTATCATTTACTATTAAATTGGTTTTTTTTTATAAAAATAGCTTTCAAACTCTACTATTAAATAAAACATAATTAACCGGATTTAGTGTATAATTAAAAATAAAAAATTATAAGAGAATTTTTTAAAAAAAAAAGTTTGCACATAAAATGACCTCAAGTTGAATGGTTTATTTATAATTGGTGGATATTGAGACATAAATTTGACAGAATTAGAAGGTGAGTTAAGCACAATCTAGTCACCAATTAGATGAGGAAGAAATAGGGACTTTAATCCAAAAAGAAACATAAAGCGATGTCAAAAGACGAAGGCACCCTTTCACACACTATACTTTCCAGTTTCAAAGAACAGAGTGTGGGTTCTGCTGACGCTTGAAGACAGTGAGGGGAAAAAATAACTGAGAAATTCTAGAAACCTCTCTTCAGAGAGTCCGTGAATAAATCAATTGTTCAAAATCAATTTCACAAAGTTTGATCACTTTTGCATTGACCTTCAACTTTTCTTCTTCTCTCCGGTTATTCGCTCGCAATGAATCCACAATCACCGGACCCTCAGCTTCCGACTTTCTCCCCACGGTTCGCGCTCGTGACCGGTTCGCAGCGGAAAATCGCGATCGCGGTGGATCTGAGCGACGAGAGTGCTTACGCGGTGCGGTGGGCGGTGCAGAACTACCTCCGACCGGGCGACGGGGTGATCCTTCTGCACGTGCGTCCCACGAGCGTCCTGTATGGCGCGGACTGGGGCTCGGTGGATCTGAGTGTGGCGGAGGAGGGCGGCGATGAGGAGTCGCGGCAGAAGCTGGAGGACGACTTCGACAACTTTACGTCGACGAAGGCTAGCGACGTGGCGCAGCCGCTGGTGGAGGCGCAGATACCGTTCAAGATCCACATTGTGAAGGACCACGACATGAAGGAGAGGTTGTGTTTGGAAGTGGAGCGCCTCGGGCTCAGCGCCGTCATCATGGGAAGCCGCGGCTTCGGCGCGTCCAAGCGAGCCGCCAAAGGAAGGCTCGGCAGTGTCAGCGATTACTGCGTGCACCATTGCGTGTGTCCCGTTGTGGTCGTGCGTTACCCCGAGGAGAACGACAACGGTAGTAGCGGCAACGGTAACGGCGGTGATGTTCTGGTTGGGGAACAGGTGGAGCTTCCACCTGTGCCTGAGGAGGAGCATGAGGTGTATCATGATGCTTCCGATGAGCACAGAGGTTTGG